TTACTGTAACACTTTGCCGCCGGTTTATAAAGCGTTCGCACAGAGAACGGCTCTGTGATTCACCGCTCGCTGTGGCCACTAGATGGAGCCGGGGAGCCCCGGCGAGTTCACATCCTCTTCAGCTCCACCTAGGGCTGTCCCCTGTGCGAACGGCTCATTCACATGCGTCTGCGGCAATATTGATACAAAGTTTCCAAAACGCCATCAGAAGACTTTGTCATCGAATAGAAACTTGATGATGAGGACTCTGCGGTGACGTACGGGGCCCGGCGGATCAAACCGGTGAGGGTGGATGAGAAGACCCGGGCTCACAGTCAGTGATCAGTAGGGATGAGGTCGGGGCTCTGTGCTGGTCACACCGTGTCTGTATGGAGCTGGCAGTGTACACGGGGGACAGTCATGGGGGGGGACAGAAAAGGGTCTTCACCAAACTGTGACCACAAGCCTGGAGGAGGACAATTGTCTCCAATCTGCAGCGGGACCCTCACTGGAGACCCCTGAACCCCATCATTGTGGAGACCCCTGAACCCCATCATTGTGGAGGCACCTGAACCCCATCATTGTGGAGGCACCTGAACCCCATCATTGTGGAGGCACCTGAACCCCATCATTGGAGACCCCTCAACCCCATCATTGGAGACCCCTGAACTCCATCAATGGAGACCCCTGAACCCCATCATTGGAGACCCCTGAACCCCAATACTGCAGTGCGGGAGCCCCCCAGGAGATCATAGACCTTCATGTGACTCGGGGGAAGGGGGGTGCAGTACACATGTGCATTCCGTGTGCTTCCCGTGTACCTGGGACCCGCCGTTGCCTACTGATGACAGCGAGCGCCGCATTCCCTCATGAGCCAGGCTCCTCCTCTGCAGAGAGACCACTGCTTCCACACACAAAGAGCCAGGCTCCTCCTCTGCAGAGAGACCACTGCATCCACACAGAGCCAGGCTCCTTCCCTGCAGAGAGACCACTGCTTCCACACACAGAGCCAGGCTCCTCTGCAGAGAGACCGCTGCTTCCACACACAAAGAGCCAGGCTCCTCCTCTGCAGAGACCACTGCTTCCACGCAGAGAGCCAGGCTCCTCCTCTGCAGAGACCACTGCTTCCACGCAGAGAGCCAGGCTCCTCCTCTGCAGAGACCACTGCTTCCACGCAGAGAGCCAGGCTCCTCCTCTGCAGAGACCACTGCTTCCACGCAGAGAGCCAGGCTCCTCCTCTGCAGAGACCACTGCTTCCACGCAGAGAGCCAGGCTCCTCCTCTGCAGAGACCACTGCTTCCACGCAGAGAGCCAGGCTCCTCCTCTGCAGAGACCACTGCTTCCACGCAGAGAGCCAGGCTCCTCCTCTGCAGAGACCACTGCTTCCACGCAGAGAGCCAGGCTCCTCCTCTGCAGAGACCACTGCTTCCACGCAGAGAGCCAGGCTCCTCCTCTGCAGAGACCACTGCTTCCACGCAGAGAGCCAGGCTCCTCCTCTGCAGAGACCACTGCTTCCACGCAGAGAGCCAGGCTCCTCCTCTGCAGAGACCACTGCTTCCACGCAGAGAGCCAGGCTCCTCCTCTGCAGAGACCACTGCTTCCACGCAGAGAGCCAGGCTCCTCCTCTGCAGAGACCACTGCTTCCACGCAGAGAGCCAGGCTCCTCCTCTGCAGAGAGACCACTGCTTCCACACACAGAGCCAGGCTCCTCCCCTGCAGAGAGGCCGCTGCTTCCACACAGAGCCAGGCTCCTCCTCTACAGAGAGACCACTGCTTCCACACACAGAGCCAGGCTCCTCCCCTGCAGAGAGGCCGCTGCTTCCACACAGAGCCAGGCTCCTCCTCTACAGAGAGACCACTGCTTCCACACACAGAGCCAGGCTCCTCCCCTGCAGAGACCACTGCTCCCACACAGAGAGCCAGGCTCCTCCTCCTCCGCACGCTGGCAGGGGACAGACCTCTGTGGGACTTGTTTGCACAGTTTGTTGCTTCTGGAATGTAATCGGATTAAACTGAACGTCAAGTTTGGGTTCAAAAGATCCACTTTTGGCTCAAATCTGCCCCTGTACGGCTGAGTGTCAGACCCCGGGGGGGGGTGGGGTGTCAGTGGGGTGATCGCCCTCCCAGCAGCACTGACGGGTCACCGTGTGGAATGTGTCAGGAAGCTGCTGAATGCAGAGAATCCTCAGCCTAGAACATGGTGACTCATCTCCAGTGACGCCCCAGGGGGAGGCGGGGCCATCCAATCACTGACACCCCGCCCCCCACTTGCTGAATGCAGAGAATTGTCAGCCTGGAAGGAACATGGTGACTCATCTGAGTGACGCCATGAAGCTGCACAACATCCACGTCAATTCAGAGGGGGGAGGGGTGACAACACTGACGCTGAGGCCTGAGATACCAGCACAGCTGGAAGCTGCACAGCCCATCCACGTCTATTCATCCTATAACAGGAATTGTCTGAACAAGGATAGAGCGTTGTCACCCTCTAACAGGAAGTGTCTGAACAAGGACCTCCATGGCGCCCCCCCCCACCCCGGCACTTGTATTCAGACAGCTGGGACCCGCGGCGGTCGGTACACCTGGACAGTGACTTCGTCTTCCATTTCTCGGTGCCGGCGGGGTCACCCACAGACTGCGTTTCAGCCGAGTCAGCACAGAACGTGTTTTGCAGCGTTATCCTCCCTCTGAAGGTGGAGACACGGCACATGACGCCTCAGCCTAACACGCAACCCCACATAATAATCACATGTATGCGGGCCAGCGCCCAACCCAACTCCTGCATAGGTCTACAACAGGGAGAGGTAACCTCGGGCCTGCCGGCTCTTGTGGCACTACAAGTCCCATTGCAAGACTGACAGAGGCAAAGGGGTGATGCGATTTGCAGTTTCGGAACAGCTGGAGTGCTGAGGTTGCCCGCCCCCCATGGTCTAACTCAGCCATCCTCAACCCGGGCTCCTCCGGAGGTTGCTCGGGGGTCCCCTGAGCTGATTCATCTCCATCTTATAGTCCCGGGGCCACCGAAATGGGCAGAGCCTACAACATGACACCACTGATGTCTTTTAGCCGTCTGTAAGTGGACATTCCAATCACCAGTATAGGGGGGACATTATTTAAAGGCCCCCCCCCCCTCCTATAATAAAATAAC